CAAAAAGAGAGTTCGAAGTTGAAAATTTTTAGAAAACTGCCAAAAATCGCTGGAGGCTCACTGCTGTTTGAAACCCTGCCACCCAATAGAGCCAACATCGCTCTATATTAAACAACAACTACAGCGCTCTACAGGCACAGAGCGTAAAATGGCGAATTTTTGAAACAGAGCCTGCACAACTTTTAGGAGGCAGTTACAGATGCGATTTTTGAAAAAATTTTCCAAGTTCGTCCGAGTCCAGTAGAGATTTAAAACTCGGTGCAATTAGAGTGTCGGGTTTGCTCTATATTTATCTAAAATATCAGCGCTCTACCTGCTTATAGCGCAAACGGGCAAATTTTTGAAACAGAGCCTGCACCCTGCCTGAAAGGAGTCCGAAATATTTTTTTTTTAGAAAACTCCCAAAAATCACCCAAATTCACTAGCGGTTTGAAACTCTGCTACCCAATAGAGGCAATATTTCCCTATATTCAGCACCAATTAGAGCGCCGCACTTGAATAGAGCGTAAAAGAGCGAATTTTTGAAACAGAGCCTGCACAAGTTTTAAGAGACAGTTCCAGAAGCATGATTTAAAAAAATTTCTCAAGTTCACTCGGGAGTCCAAATTTATTTGAAACTCGGTTCAATAATAGAGCCAGCTTTTCTCTATACTTATGTAAAATTTCAGCGCTCCACTTGCTTAGAGCTCAAGCGGGAGAACTGTTGAAACAGAGTCTGCCCACTGCATAAAGAGAGTTGGAAGTTGAAAATTTTTAGAAAATTGCCCAAAATCGCTCGAGGCTCGCTGCCGTCTGAAACCGTGCCATCCAATAGAGCCAACATCGCTCTATATTAAACAACAACTACAGCGCTCTATACGCACAGAGCGTAAAAGAGCGAATTTTTGAAACACTGGCTGCACAACTTTTAGGAGGCCGTTACAGATGCAATTTTTGAAAAAATTGCCCAAGTTCACCCGAGTCCAGTAGAGATTTAAAACAACTCGGTGCAATTAGAGTGTCGGGTTTGCTCTATATTTATCTAAAATATCAGCGCTCTACCTGCTTATAGCGCAAACGGGCTAATTTTTGAAACAGAGCCTGCACCCTGCCTGAAAGGAGTTGAAAATAATTTTTTTTAGAAAACTCCCAAAAATCACTCAAATTCAGTAGCGGTTTGAAACCGTGCTACTCAATAGAGGCAATATTTTCCTATATTCAGCACCAATTAGAGCGCCGTACTTGCATAGAGCGTAAAAGAGCGAATTTTTGAAACAGAGGCTGCACAACTTTTAAGAGAAAGTTCCAGATGCACGATTTCCAAAAATTGCCCAAAATCACTCGAATCTAGCAGAAGTTTGAAACTAGGTTGAACAATAGCGTCAACTTTGCTCTATATTTCATCAAAATCCTTTCAAATTTTGATTTTTTACAGTCTAGTAAAATTTAATCTCCATTTTCAAGCTTCCACCAAAATGCGCTCAATCTATTAAAAATCGTAACTTCCAAACTTCCCTAGGTGGCCCTTTGAAATTTCTCCAACGCTTAGAAGACACTTGATTCTACTCATGGGGAAAGTTTCATTAAAATCCCCC